ACTCACAAATCAGAATCCTCTGCTTGAATGGAGAACAGAGACTGAATCCAGCAACCAGAAAGAGAGCGGATGCAAGCATGGTCTACATCGGCTTATGTAGTTTAAGAGGCCACGCCCCAGTGGGCGGGTAACCACTGGCTGTAAGACTTCCTACAGCATCCTAGCTCCTTCTTAGCCATAAGAAAATCAAATTGTTTCTCCACTCACCATGAAAGTGTTGCTGGTAAAATGCTAACGGTTGGCACTGTAAGATACCTTTGGACAGAGATAAAAAAAAAAAAAAAAAAAACAAACTTCTACAAAAAACACCCAGGGAAAATGCCTCTGGTTCTTGGCTCCTGGTAATTATCAGGTCTGAAAAATACTACATCATAGTTTTGCTTGATGGGATCTTATCAAAACATGATTTGGTTAATATCATGTCCCTGACACAGGCTCCTTTTCAAATGAAAGGCTTAGGTAATTTTACGGTTGGACACCTAAATAATTAAAGGTTTTCAGCAAAGTCAATCTTATTGCTATATGACAGGGATATCATTACATCTCAGTGTTCACTTATGTTTGGATAGAGGTATGTGCTTTAGTCCAGTCAGATGACTCTAAGGGAATCCTGCAGAATGGGTAGTTTATCAACCTAAGAGATGGATTCCATACAGTCCTCAAGGCCTGGAAACCAGAGATCAAGGTGGAAGCCGACTCGGTGTCTGCTGAGGGCCCACTTCTAATAGATGGTACCTCATTGCAATGTCCTCAAAGAGCAGAGGGAGCCAGGCTTTTCTCTGTTTTTTGTGCAGGAGGATGGGAACTTGAGTCCAATCTAGGCTGTTTAACATGTTCCAAGCTGTAGGATTTTGCTTAGGGAGACCCTGTTTCAAAAAAAAGCAAGCAATAACTCTATGCATTGGCTTTTGCTTCTAAAACTCTGCTAAGAGGGGGAAAAAAATAGAGAGTTTAGAACAAAGAAAATGGGGAGAGTTGGGTCATAGCACAAAATCCCGTAAGTGGAAGTGAGTTCTACAGCAGTCTGAAGCCCTGAGTTCTAGACTTGCTGTTGAGAACAACCTCTCTAAGGCAGAACCCCAAGGACCCACGTGTTTCTGGAAGCAGAGGTGAAGATGGGTCTAAAGCCAGAAAGACTGGTGGGAGTTGTGCTTGAAAAGGGAAAGAGGGTCATGATGCCATTATACTTTAATTTCCAAAAAGAAAAAAGTGAAAAATTCATATTGTTTTTATCATTCATTGAAGAATAAAACTTGGCAAAAATTGATAGCTATCCAGAAAGTTGATAAAATCCCAGCTTTCTTTATGATTTGTTTCCCAGAATCCTGCAGAGCCTGGTCTGAAGGCCATGAAGGTTCCTCCAGTGAAGCGAGGAAACAGCTGAGAAATAATCCCTTTGAAAGGATGATACCCGCTGCCCTTCCCATCACTGGGTGCTCAACCTCCTCCAGATGGCAGCCCCCCTCCAGATGGCAGCCCCCCTCCAAATAGCAGCCCTCCTGATCACACGAGAAAGGGGAGCTGGAGAAGGTTACAGCTCTAGCACAATGAAATCCATGTTTTTTTCCCTTTTATTCCCTCTCTTTCCTCCCTCCCTCCCTTCTTCCCTCTCCTTCCTTCCTTCCTTCTTTCCTTCCTTCCTCCCTCCCTCCCTCCCTTCCTTCCTTCCTTTCCTCCCTCCCTTCCTTTGACAGGGTCTTTTATAGCTAGCTCACTAGGTGCCTGAGGTTGACCTTGACTTCCTGATTCTCCTGTCTCTGCTTCCCTTATGCTGGGATTACAGGAATGTACCACCATCCCTAGTTTGCGTGGTGCTGGGAACCAACTCCAGGACTTTGTACTTGCTAGTCAAGGATCCACCCTTAGGTGTACCCACGGCCCCAGGAATTTCTTTCTTAAAGTCATATAGTTGTCTTAGTTACTGCTCCGGTCTCTGTGACAATGGATCTGACAGAGCAACTTAAGGGAGGAGGGGTTTCTGTTGGTTCCTGGTTCAGGGTATAGAGTCTATTACAATGGAGAAGCTTTGTTGCCAGGACCTGGTCTTGCCCTAACATCAGGAAGCAGAGGGAGCTCAGGCTAGAACTGGAGCCAGCCTGGACTGCTCATGCCTCACGTCCAGAAGATTCCACAATCTTCCAAACAGTGCCATCAGAGCCTGTGGGTACATTTTGTATCCACACTATAAGCATGGTATTTTGTCTTCAAAGTAAAACTGGCTTCCTTTGACAGTGTTTCAGTGCTTTTCCTTTTCTTTCTTGTCTTTTTGGTTTTTTCCAGAGAGGGTTTCTCAGTCTTGGCTGTCCTGGAACTTGCTCTGGAAACTAGGCTGGCCTTGAACGCACAGGGATCCACCTACCGCTGCCTCTGCAATGCTGGGATAGGCAAGAGCCGCCACCACCTGGCTTTTGGTATTTTCCTTCAGAGGTGCTGTCTCTTCGCTTTTGAAGGCTAGAAACAGCCTACACATCAGATTTTAAACTGTCTACAGATGTCTTGCTGCATGAGGACATGTCAAGCATTGTCGGGGCTGCCAGGACTGGGCATAATTAGAATGTAGTTTAGGCCTCACCTCAGAGAATATCAGAACCAGTTCATAATCTTGAGTCAGTTACCAATCACAATCACACGACAGTCATACCAATAACATTCAGTTCATCCGATTTTATAAAAGACCCTCAGCTGGTCTCAGCCAGATGAAGTCTCTTCCCCACCGAGGAGTAAGTCACCCCAGACAATGACTTGGTCAAGATCCCAGGGAGGATGAGGCATGGACTACCTCACCATTCAAGGGCCCTACTGGCTGAAAATTGCTAAGGGTTAGCCAAAGTCAGCCAAGCTAAGGTCCATCTTTGTTACAAGTTCACTGAAACTGTAGCACGGGCTTTGCCAATTAACCACATTGCCACAGAGGCACAGCAAGTAACCTCATCATTTCTTTGGATGACTTATTTCTCTTTCCACCATGAGAACACAGAACCTTATACTTCCCAGATAGGGATGCAGAACAATGAAATTAGCAGTGTGTTTCCGGCAGCAGCGGTTCTGGTGAGAGTTGTTCGTCTATAGCAGGGTTCTGAAAGGCTTTCTGTCAGAGGGCCAGACAGAAAGTGTCTTGGGTTGCACCAGTCGGGAGGTTGTAACTACCGCTGTGCTTGCTGAGTAGAGAACACACATGTGAATGAGTGTGTTTGCGGTCTAATAAAAGTTGGTCTATATTTACATTTGTGTTTCATGTAATTTTTGGCATGAGAAAAAAACATTTTCTCTTTTCAGACATTTAAGATGTAAACATTGGGCTGGCAAGATGCCGCTGTGCTATCAGTGCTCCATGCCCAAACTTGTTGACTTGAGTTTGATGGTTGGAGCTACTCAAAGCTGTTGAATTCTCAAAGTTGTCCTCTTGCTGTAGTTGTTTTGCTTGTTTTTCTTTTTTTTTTTAACTCTTGTTTTTGGGCCTTGCCACCCAGCTCCCAAATAAACACACAGACACTTATTGTTACTTATGAATACTTGGCCATAGCTTTGCTTGTTTTTAGCCAGCTTTGCTTAACTTAATTATCCGGTCTATCTTTTACCTCTGGGATTTGATTTTACCTTTCTCTTTTCTATATGCCTTTCTTATTTGATGGCTGGCTCTGAGGCTGGGTGGCTGGGTGGCTGGGTGGCTGGGTGGCTGGGTGGCTGGGTGGCTGGCCCTTGGTGTCCTCCTCTCCTCCTTTCTTTACTCCTCTCTCTTCTCTTCTCTTGAGCCCAGATTTCTCCTCCTATTTATTCTCTCTGCCTGGCAGCCCTGCCTATCCTTTCTCCTGCTTTGCTATTGACCATTCAGCACTTCCTTAGACCAATCAGGTGTTTCAGGCAGGCCAAGCGAAACAGCATCACAGAGTTACACAAAATGCAAAATAAAGGAATGCAACACACCATTGCGTCATTAACCAAATATTCCACAGCATTAGCAAATGCAACACATCTTAAACTAATAATTCACGTATTAGTTTATTATTCAATTATTAAACTAATAATTCTACAATTCACTTCTACAAGCATGCTACGGCATGTATGTCAATGTACTTAAATATATATCTTACAAATATACAATAACAAATGAAAATGGAAAGTTACGCAAATACATGTAAAAATCACTCTCAGCTGTGGCTAGATAAAAACAAGAGGGGAGGTGTTATACCCTACTGACTGCAGTGAGCTGACCCCTGTCTTAGGATGGCCGTGCATATGCACTAAGAGGGTCTGAAGGAAGGCTGCTGTTACAACCAAAAACTTTCCCATAAGCACAGGCAATGAATGTAATGTGTGCTGTGTCCGTATTATGGAATCCTACACGGCAGTCCAAATGCAAGAACTTTAGACAGCTCCATGTGTCAGGACGGTTGAATCTCAAGCTCTTTACATTGATCAAGAAGCCAACCAAAGAAGAAAGCTTACAGCACAATACAGTTGTATTTAGGCTTGTCAAGGGAGGAGCCAAGCAATGTAAAAGTCATAAAACTAATAGAAAGGAAGAAAATGGTAAAACGTGGTTCGCTTAGGAAACAGGAGAGACTGTGACGCTTTGTGAGATGCACAGAAGGGTTTCCAGGCTACCAGGGTCTACTTCACATTTTACCACGTCTTGTTTTGTAGGCGTGACCAAAGTTCAGTCCTTGTGCGTGATAGACTCTACTTTCGGGCTACGTGTTTCCTTTTAAAAAATTGCTATTAAAATTTTAAAGTTGATATACTCCCTCTTTCAGATTAGTTTAGGTTTAAAGGCTCAGTGGCTGGATTTTGGTTTCACAGGAAAGGGGGCCATCTTTAGGCACCACGTTTAATGTTGGTTAAAAAACAAAATTTTAGGAACTATGGGATGACGTAAGAGGTATCATGCAGCAATCTATGTCTTAGTCCATTCAAAGTATTTTAGAAAATTTGAGGAATAGACTTTTTTCTATTTCTATTTAATATTACTTAATTTAAATTTGAGAATTCCCCATTTGCGGGGCTGGAGAGACGGCCCCGTGGTTCAGAGAACGGCTGCTCTCCCAGAGCCGGTGAGTTAGGTTCCCAGCACCAACGTTATTGCCTGTAACTTCAGCTCCCCGTGATCCAACACTGGCTCCTTGGGCACCTGCTCTTACACGCACATAACCACCCCTCCCCAATTAAAAATAATAAAATAGGTGCTGGAGAGATGGCTCAGCAGTTACGAGCCCTGACTACTCTTCCAGAGGACCTGAGTTCAATTCCCAGCTCCCACAAGGCAGCTCGCAGTTGTTGGTAACTCCAGTTGCAGGGGATCCTGTGGTCTCTCCGGACCTCTTCAAGTGTCAGGTATGCACGTGGCAGACAGACATACACTCAGGCAAAACACTTACATACATAAATAAATAATAATAGTTTTTAAAATTTCCATTTCTGTTTACTTACATATATGAAGCCCTGTGGGCTCTTCCCCTGAAAGGTAAAAGCTACAGCCCCAGACTTGCTCACGTAGGACACCCTTTGGCCCACCATGACCCCAGTGGAGAGAGAGGCAGAATCTCTTTCACACTGGCAACAGCTTATATAATCTTACAGGAATTTCAGAATTCTGTTTCTATTCAGAGAGGAAACATCTGCTCAGCTCTAAGATCTTACCTGGCCTGACTCTGGTTATATATCAGCATGAATATTTAGCACACACCTTCAAGTAAGAGTGCGGTATATGGAAATGACTTAAGCAGAAATTACTGGTTATTCAAGATCTACAACCAACTTAGTTGAAGTCATGGCAACCGTAGTTTAAAAGCAATCAATAGATCTTTCTTCCCCCCCACCGTCGTCGCATTTGCTTTTTTGGTTTACTTGTTCAGGATAGTTATTGTAGCTTTAAATGAAACAAAAACATTTGTTTTATTTCCCTGTACCACCTTGAAGCAATATTGTATTTAAAATATTCTGTTATTTGCAGCTTCCAGAGCTTGTGCCCTTGAGGTTTAGGAGAAAGCCCCAGAAGTCCGCTAGACATTGTGCTCTGAGCCTGCTGCTGACAGCTTACGGCCACCCATCCGCAGTACCTGCACGAAAGGACGCCCTCCCCCCAGTTCATGGTCAGCATTCCAGTTCTGCCAAGGAGTGAAGAAACAGAAAGGAAATAAAAGCAGGAGCTGAGATATAAAGAAAAATGAATCTGAATAAAGAAAGTTGGTGTTACAGGAAGAAGGGCAAGAGCGTGTTCCAGACATGAAAATGCCGGGCGGCTGTGCTCAGCAGCAGTGTTTGGGTGGATGCCGTGTTACTCTTCCTCGGAGTCTGTTTTTGTTCACCTCAGTTAGGGAGGGGAAAACAGATAAGAAAACTCTCCTCAAAGTCCACCTTCATGAATCAGAAGGTTATTGGAGTTACTTACAAGAACGCAGGTGAGGGGTTCCTTTCCTGAACACGGGTGACGAGGGTATCCACATCACCAAAAAGCCCAGTATGGTCAAATCCCAGAAGCCGCCTCGATGGAGTCCCCTGCACGTCAGACAGGCAGCCACACCAGTGAAGTCTCCTTTCCCCAGCAGCTCTTCACTGTTTACATAAACTCAGGGGCAGGCTCTGGCGTCTGGTGAGTTTACTTAGAGTTTCCTTCGCCCCTGCAGATCTCTTCCCACTCCTCCACAGGGAGAGGCTTCAGTCTGGTGGGAAGACCAGGCAGCAGCAGCAGTGGTACAAGGAGTTTACAGGGAAAACGAGGAGAAAGTGGGGATCCGGGCCTCGGATGTTAGACCCACGAACCTCTGAATGTCGACGTCATTTTAAGCTGTAAAAGGTGATGCCGGAAGTCGGAAATCATATGAAAAACTTCCAGAATATGCTGAAATCCTAAAAACAATGAAACAAACCCCTGGTTTTTTAGTCTGAAGATGATATTGGAGACCAGACTGGGATTATTAAGCCGAACTCTGAGTCTCATCACTCAGTTGGGACCTTGGCCTTTAACTGTTAATACAATTCTATTTATCACGGCTATAACTCATTGAAGCAGATAGATTTATTTTCATTCCAAAGGTATTTGTTATGTTCTTTGAAAATGGAAGAGTCCACATGATCTTAAGTGACATGTTAGCACTTTGCCCTTTATTTGTAATGGAATGTGGAAGTAAAGCATCGTAATACGCGTGGTTCAAAGGGAGAAGAAGCATCTTTTCATCTGTGACTTCCTCATTTCTCGTGAGTGATGTTTCACATCAATTGTTTGCCTCCGAGTCATCAGGGACTATCGTGAGCCTTCATGCCAAGACATCTGTTTGCAGAGACGTTATGTTCTAATCATCCAGATGTTCTGCTGAGAGTTTTCATCAAATTTAAGGCTGATATAAATATACATTTAGAATTTGAGAGAAAATATGGTAGTTTTCATACTTATATAGCCATGTATATTTTAAAGTTAATTTTCTTATCTTACACATCTTTTATTTTAAAAATAATTTGTATTGTCACTGCTCCCCTCCCAAAGCATTTTTAAAATGTAGTTTTTAATACATGGGTAGCAATGAAAAAAACATTTATCTTTTGTCTATTTAGTGTGTGCGTGTGCGTGCACCTACGTTTTGTGTGTGTGTGTGTGTGTGTGTGTGTGTGTGTGAATGGCCCCCATAGACTCATGTGTTGGCAATGGCACTATTAGGAGGTGTGGCCTGGTTGGAGGAAGTATGTCACTGTGAGGGTGGGGTTTGAGGTCTGATATGTCCAAGCTATGGCTAGTGTCTGCAGATCAAGATGCAGAACCCTTGGTTCCTCCACCAGCAGCATGTCTGCCTGAAAGTGGCCATGTTTTCCACCACAGTGATAATGGACTGAATCTCTGAACTGTAAGCCAGCCCCAGTTAAATGTTGTCCTTTATAAGATTGGTCCTGATCATGGTGTCTCTTCACAGCAGTAGAAACCCTAACTAAGACAGCATTCAGGTGGGGGCGGGGCAGAGGTTTGCCATCAGCCTTGCCAGCAGGTGCCTTTACCAATGAGTCATCTCCCTGGGCCATGGGTGATGAACTGAACACTAGGTGATAACCAAATATAATAGATGATAATGTCTCAATTTAAATTCTGCTTTCATACAGCATAACCCCAAATAGAAATATAAATGGGTTGAAAAATAAATAAATGATTCTAATATTTACAGAGGAAAAATTTCATCTTTTCATATGAGAAAGGATACTTCTTAAAGGCACACACAATATTTTCTGCTTATCCTTGTAATCACAGCATTCAGGAGGCTGAAGCAGGAGAATTGTGGTGAGTCAGAGAACAGCCACAGCTACGTTGTGAGTTTCTGTCCAGCCTGGGCTACAGAGTGAGGCTCTGTCTCAAACCCCTAGCAAGCATAATGCAGAGGTAAAGAATCAGGCTAATTTGATGCTAGTCTGGCTTTATGAGACTTTGCTTTAGGGGAAAACAACAAAAGGTATAATTTTCTCTTTTTTAAAAAGTTAAGTTTTTTATTTATGTGTGTGTTTGTGTGTCTAGAAGCGTATATATCGTATGTATATAGGTATCTGGAAAGGTCAAAAGAGGGCATTCGCTCTCCTAGAGTTGGAATCACAGATGGCTGTGTGACTCCTGGTGTGGGTGCTGGGAACTCTGCTCAGGTCTTCTCAGAGAGCATCAAGTACTCTCAATCGCTAGCCACCTCTCTACCTAGGTGCCATTTTCTTCTCCAAGTTCTTTATTGCAAACCACAGTTTTGTGCTTTAGGAGTAAATTAGAAACCAATGAACAACTGAAAAGCTAGTGCTACGAATTCCATAAACTAAAAATCTGTTTTTATATTTTTATGTGAGTTTGAAAGTTTTGTAAGAGATTCCAGCTATTTTATTATTTCCTTTTCTTTTGTGGTTACTGAAATATTACTGGCCATAAGAATAGAAATATATTTTACCTGGTTCAAAAATAGGTTCTGTTGGCCAATCACCTAGCCCCTACACTGACCCTGACCTGCACCAATCCGGTATCCTTTCTCAGTTGTCTTAGACCTACAAAAGGAAAGGAAGCCAGAGATGATGGAGCACACTGGTAATCCCAGCGTGGGGGAGATGCAGACAGGAAGATGGAAAATTCCAGACCTACCTAATGAGCCTGAGGCTCCCCTCAGTCACATAGAGAGACTTTGTTTGAAAAAAACGAACAGAAAATGAACTGACTAAATAAATAAATGAATGGAAAGATTAAAAAAAAAATAGGTTCTGTTGCCAGCAAGATGGCTCAATGGGCAAATGCTCTTGCCGCCCAAGCTTGATGATCTGAGTTTGATTCCCAGAACCCAGGGTATGAGACAGCTGACTCCCACAGGCTGTCCCTGATCTGCACCGTGACACACACACACACACACACACACACACACACACACACACAAGAATGCTAGCCAGGCATGGCGCATGCCTTTAATCCCAGCACTCAGGAGGTAAAAGCAAGTGAATCTCTGAGTTTGAGGCCAGCCTGGTCTACAGAGCAACTATACAGAAAAATCCTGTCCAAAACCTCAAAATAAATAAATAAATAAAAATAATTTTCATTAATTTAAAAAATTACTTCCTATTATAGAGACCGTGACAGAAAACTCACAGCCCATAAAACTGCAGAGAACTGGTGATTGTGCGGTAGCCAGTCCTGACTGCACCCGGAACAAAGCTGCACCTAAGGCGCAGGGAGCACTGTGGAAGAGGCGGCGGATGTACCGTAAGAACCAGAGGAACAGAGAGTTTACTGTAAGACTGTGTGTCCTAGACATGCCAGAGGAGCTACACCCATGAAGTCTCACCAACACGGCTGCACACACAAGACCTGAAGGAAGACACAATAGACATGCTAACCTCTAAGGACCCCAACCCAAGACAAAGAAACGTAGGCAAGTAAAGAATCCTGATGGAGGGAGAAGTCGTCTTCCCCGGGGAAGAGCCCCCACATTGTTTCTCCAGTGCCAAGTGCTCAGTGCTGCAGTCACATACCTACAAGCGGCATTCTACGGACCGAGCAGGTGACATTTATATATTTAGGAATATATTTATGTGTATACACACACACACACACACACACACACACATAAAAAGTTAAAGAGAAAAGGACAGGAATTTAAGAGAGAGAAAGGAGGATAGATGGGGCTTAGAGGAAAGAAAAAGAAGGGGCAAATGATGTCATTATGTTTTTATTTCAAAAAATAAAAATTTAAAATTTTATATTCTTTTTATTATGCACTGAAGAATAAAATGTGAACAGCAGGAAACAGAATCCTAGGCGCTAAAAATGGAAGTGATGTTAAGGTCATTTCCTTCTCAGCTCAGTGCCTACTCTCTTCACAGCGGGATCAACTGGGTTTTAAGTAGTCACCTGATTTGTCCTTGGTCATACCTCAGCAGTGAGTCAGCTCCTGTAACCAGTTCCAGGCCCACTAGGAGCTTGGTAGCCTGTCTTTTACCGCTGGGTAGCTGGGAGGCACTGTTGCACAAGAAAAAGCAAGGGTGGGGGCGGTGAGCTGATACCCGGCTTTTGCCACTTGGTGGCAGATCATGGCAAATTACTACTAGGAGCATTAGTGGGAACAGTGGCCAAGAATCACAGGCTTAGAAGAGATACCCAGGGCTTGGATCATAGAGCTTCTACTAGTAGTCATGGCTGTTATTATGAGATATATATTTTTTTCTTAGAAATAATGTATTGTTGTGGTGTGTTTTTTATATTTACTGTGTATTTTTATTAGTGGTATATTTAATGCTTATGTGCATTTTATGTTTACTTGAAAGCCATCCTTCTAATTTCTCACGGATGTTCTACTTGTCATGTTTTCCCACATTCCCAGCAGAATATCTTTTGCCATATTCAGCTTCTTGGTGACTCAGTTTCCCTCGCTTACAACAGGAAAGAGAAAAGCAACAGAGCCTTTCTCTTCCATGTGCTCATTAGCTGAAGAGAAATCAATCTTGTCTTCTCAAAGGGAAGTCTGCAGGTCTGACTTGAAAAATGATGGTCAGGAGTGGAAAACCGGTGGGGGTGGGCGTGAAGATTGTCAGGGAAATAAACATCTCCACGCAAGTAGATAAGAGTACAGAGAAAATTCATTTGGATCCTCACTTCGGAGACATGTTAAAGTATACTTCGAATGGGACAGAGTTAAGTACCATTGAACTGCAATTTGTTGAAGGAAAGACGCTCATGAAGAACATTCCGGCAAATTGAATACAGCCATTGAGGGGAGACAAGGATTTGAAAATCCAGACAGGACGGGCTATGAACAGAGAAGTGTAATCCTCTCTGTTCATTCAGCAAGATGAAAATATGAATACACACACTAAAATTAAAACAAACCTTGGAAAGAAAGGAGTGAGCTAGAGATAACACGTGACAATATCCCACACAGTTACTACCAAACCTAGCCATCTGTGGGTAGAAATCAACATTGCTCACTAGGCAGCTATTTCATTGTGGTATGGAGCAACACACAGTGCATTGTGGGAAAGGAGTTCATGAGAAAAAGCATTAAAAATTAATAGGAACAGATTTACTGTTGTAGAATATTGTTTTAAGGTGTGTTATAATTGTTTACGCTCTGGAACATTTGTTTTAATGATGCAAAGATGTGTTGCATTCTTTAATGTTGCATTTGTTTAACTCCGTGAAGCTGTGATTTTTTGCGTGTCTAAAACACCTGATGGTCTATTGAAGTGCTGAACAGCCAATAGCAAGGCAGGAGAAAGGATAGGCGAGGCTGGCAGACAGGTTAAATAGGAGGAGAAATCTGCGAGAATGAAGGAAGGAGAGAGAGAACAAGGAGATGAGGACATCAGGGGCCAGCTACCCAGCTACCCAGCAACCTACAGAGAAAAAAAATCTAAGAAAGATATACAGAAATAGAGAAAGATAGAAGCCCAGAGGCAAAAAAAAAAAAAAAAAAAAAATAGACGGGATAATTTAAGATAAGAAAAGCTGGCTAGAAACAAGCCAAGCTCAAGCCGGGCATTCGTAAGGGAGAAAAGCCCCCGTGTCATGATTTGGGAGCTGGGTGGCAGGCCCTCCAAAAGAGTAAAGAGTAAAAAGTGAAAAACAGCTAACTGCAATTTACATATTTCTTTAGAATACTTTGTAATGTATTTCAGGTTCTTCTAAAATTTTCAAACCCCAGGTCTGGAGAGAGACTCAGTTGTCAATAGCACCTGCAGCTCTTGCGGAGAACTTGGGGTTCAGTTCCCATAACTCACACGGTGGATCACAAACCATCTGTCGCTGTAGGTCCAGGAGTCTGATGCCCTCTACTGGCCTCTCTAAGCATGTTCAACACTCATATAAACAATAAGTTTAAAAAAATCTTTATATGCCTTAAAAATATTTGTTTTTAATTGTGTGTGTAGGTGTCTCTCTGTGTGTCTGTGTGTGTTTGTGTGTGTGTGTGCACGCATGCACATGAGTTCAGGTACCATCGGAGGACAGAGGCGTCAGATCCCCTGGAGCAAGGCAGTTGTGAGCCACCTGACATGGGCAGTAGAAACTGAACTCAGAGCAACACACATTCTTAACCACTGAGCCATCTCTCCAACCATCTCTTCATACACTTTAATCTAGTTATTTTACCTTGGAAATAGACTCTAAAGAAATAAACTAAAAGGAAACAAAATTAATTATACAAACATATCTGCCCTATTTATAGTGTAAGAAGGCATAAAGGAAAAATTTGCTCCACCCAAAACCCAAAACGTGTGATAGACACATGCGTATATATCAGTATCATCTTTAGGCACAATAAGTTTATGTAGTCTAGGAAAATACTAGAATCGTTTAAGTGACAGAAATGTGTGTGTGTATGTGTGTGTGTGTGTGCGTGTGCGTGCGTGCATGCGTGTGTGCGTATGCTGGTGCTTCAACCTAAAGTGGAAGGAGTGATGGGGTCTATCCCTCCAACTGAGCTACATTTCCTGCCCTGGTGGCTCTCTTAAGCTGAAGAGGAGGTGTGCAGTGTGGGTGCAATCAGGGTTGTTTATCCAGATGATTTTCTACCTCATGGTCTCTGTTCCAGCCGTGGGCAGATAGTTAAGTGGTTTCCTGCAAGCCCCTTGGAATGTGACATGCGAGAGATGGTGGGGCGGGTTCAAGAAGTGTCTCGGAGCTGCAGGAACTGTTCAGAGGAAACGGGCTAAGAAGCCAATTGCTCCTAGAAGGACCGTGCATTTCTGAACTTGTTCCAGTCTGGTGTGTGACTTCTTTTTTCCCTGCTCTGTCACCAACCCAAAGTCAGAATGTGGAGACAAAGACAGGGAATGGAGTGGGAAAACAGACTGACATTGTCACAGGTAGAAAGGATGCCAAAGAGCAAGGGAGGGAAACCATTCGTGAACCCGTGGATCGTTTGTTTAAACAATGAACTTTCTCTTAAGTAGGAAATTAGTTGCTCATAGCTCAGAAGGAAGGTAGAAGAATCAGCCTTAGGAAACAGATGGAAGCCAAGGGCCGAGAAAATTCATGACAAGAAGGATCAGCCTTCTGGCGTGACTTGCCAGTGTGGCCAAGGGTCCATCTCTGGACCAGCTTTGTCTGATGCCACAGCATCATAAGAACATATACTTATTTGCCCATTTGTCTCTGATGGTCAAGAACTGAGTCCTCAAGCAAGGGCTCCAGGGGCTAACCCTGGTTTGGCTGTCCTGTTTCTACTGTCAGACAACAGAGAGGCAAAAGATCGACTCTTTAGCTAGACTCCTTGTGGGCAGTGAACCTCTGCCTCCCAGCAGAGCTCATCACAAAGATTCCCCACAGATAGAAAGGGGGTCTAGGCACCAAAGAGGGAAACAAAGGAAGAGCACTAGGCAGGAACAACAGCAAGGCTCTGTTGTTCTTCAGTGCCAGGGTGGGTGTTTGGACAGTACTCAGTCTGGAGTTTAGCCCTAGCTTGCAGCAGGGGGCCTTCTGTAAAGAAGTCATGCCTACCACTTCAGGCTCTTCGAAGGGTGGGGTTTTCTCAACTTCTGATTTCTTCTACAGCGACTCTCATGAGCCTGCTGCGGTGGAATCATAGACGAACATGCTTGTGTCTTTCCACAGTTGTAGAATTTACTGAATAATGATAAATTCACAAGGGTTAGTGGTTTTAGCGACAATGTGTCATCCGCCTCCTTTGGTATCTGGGCCAAAGAGAATTCAGGTTCTTTGATTTAAATTTTAATTGCTAGTATTAACTTTCATATCACATAGCGTACAGAAAATACACATGTGAGAGCATATACACATACAGTATACAAGTTCAAAAGGCTCCATCAGAGTCCAAGTTCACAAGCGGGCTGAGAGTCTGGTGATAAGTGTGGAGAGGAAGGCGCTGCTGGATCTGCGGTCAGCCTTGAGAGTGAAGCTGCCGGGTTCAGCTTTGAAGTGAAAGCTGGTCGGGGTTTGGTGCAGAAATTATGTCAGAAGCAGGAAATGGCAGATTAGGTCCAGACGGTCAAGCAGGCCTCATCAACAGTGAAACGCTGAGCTGAAGCTCCAGGGACAACGTGGCGAAGAGGCCCTTCTCTCTGGGCCTTGGACCACTTCAGTGGGACGGGTTCTGCTTCCATGAGCCACTCTTTCCACAGGGACCTGGCAGGTGTGGAAGAAGCCTGCTGTGACAGGTAATGGAAAATCTGGGTTTCATCTGTCATAGCACACAATGACGCCTTAAGCTGACAGATCCCGGGAAGTCAATCATCTAAGAACAACAGTCTAAGGCATAGGACCCCACCTCAGCAACATACCAGGGCGACAGGAGAGTCACCACAGCCTCTAAACCTCAGTTCCCTGTGCTGCATAGTGTATTACAGTAGCATTTGATGGCGAAATGATGGAGAATTACTACACATACTTCTACATGAAGTATCGGTAGGCGTAATTCTACACGTTACTCTTTTATACTGCGTGCAATTACTGAGAACTTAACTGTTAGCCAATGTGTTACTGGTCAAACAGGAGGCGGATTCGTTCTTAAAAGCAACTTTCCTTGCCCCGTGTGCTATTTTTAGTAGGCGGTGTCTTACTTAACTCTAGTGTGAATCATACAAGTGCTATTTTTAAATGAGTGGAATTGCATTATAGGGTCAGTCACACGGCCACCGAACTTTCTTCCTGGGCTTGTGATCCGATTCTTTCCATCATTTCTGGAACCTACTGTGGCTGATTCCACCTTCCCAGGGAAAATTCCATGCCAGACCAAGAGGGACACAGCTGTGTAGAGTTCCGCCTTGACTGGCCTCCCCTGTTAGGACCAGTGACATCTTTCTTTTTTCTTGCTATACAGCCAACACTACAGGACACAGATCGCTGTTCAGCTTGTTCCCGTGCAGTAGTGGACAGGAAAAACAGGGCAGGAAGTTTAATGGACAAATTGTTTATAGGTCAAAAGGAGTCAGAGGGGTGGGACAGCATCAGCACAGAAGGAACAAATGGAAGAAAGACTCTTATGCTCCCATGCTGGGTCTGCTGTGGTCGCAGTGTCTGCCCAGGCTGCAGGGCTGTTCCTAAGGTCTTCCTGCTCCTCGTCCCACGTTCCCTTGACCTTTTACTTGCTCTCTCTTGGTACACTGAAGCTGCCATTCAACTGCCTTCCCCTTGAACTTTTGGGGATAAATCTGAAGGGCACTCAACCTGAGTTTTGACATCCAGGCTCATGTTCTCCCTTTGATTTTGTGTTTTAGGTCCTGTTCTATCAACTGCTTAGGACTCCTTAGCTAACGGAAAAAGAGACTGCACACGGAGTTAACAGGCATTCTAGAGAACTTTAATCCTGGGCAGGGCCGTGAGTCAGGTCAGGGCCACGGGGCTGCCAGAGTCTGGTGGACTCAAAACTCTGAGAGCTGCTGTTTGTCCCTTTCAGTTCAGGAAAACACTTTAGGGATGAATAGGATAGATCAGCACAGCTCTGTAGTGAGGAGGATATGCATTTCCCTACAGGAGAAGCATTTATGGAATATTATAAAAATTCATATCATATGGTAGGATAGACAATTTGATTATGAAAATTTATATGTTCTATTTTAAAGAAACAGTTTCATGGTTCATATTCCAGCTTATTTTGAGGAAAGTCTTTTGGCTTAGGATCAAGCACGCATCTGTCTAAGCTGGCAGTGGGGAAGTGGAAGACATCTCTCCTGGGTTGTTTTTCCTGATTGCCTTAGCTGCTCTGGCTAGTCAAAAGCAAACACTAGAAAGAGAAACAGGATCAGAAAGTTAACTCTAACACCTCAGAATGTGCGGGCTCAGGATTCACACAAGCAGAACCTCGGATGCTTTAAGTTTTGACAACTGTCTTTGTTTATTAAACTCATTGACATTTTCTTATTAAGCTCACTGACATTTCTACATGAGGTTTATCACTGACGGTCATGGACCAAGTTTCTCTCTGGTCATGACTGAGTTATAAGAAATGTGGCCAAGCTTACCTAAGACTTTTTACTGTAGGAGGAAGTTTCTGAGGGAGGCCAGATATGTTTCCTGATGGTCGATATGATCAAACTGGGAACTGGGATAAAGCAGCAAGCTCGTCCTGTCTTAGGTATGGAGAGCTGGGATGTGCATCTGGTTTACACGGTCACTGTCCCAATGGCTTTTGTATGAACCCCGAATCTGGTGTTCCAGAATAAATGAAAGATGAGACGTGGTCCTTGATGGGAAAAGCTTCTTGAGTTAGTGAGAAGCAGTGGTGTTTTCAAAAGGTAAAAGTTGATACAATTGGTAAAATTTGAAATAACATGATCCATGGACAAAGGTCCCTGGTGATTAACTTGTCACCTTGAACATATTTTCTTTGTCAACTATGGACATGTTGTTGTGCTTTCCTGTTGCTTTAAGGGACAAGCCACGCCCACTCCATTACCTCTGACCTGCCCACCGCCATCTTGGGCCCTTCCTTTTCTGCTTCCTTGACGTTCGTGCTTTTTATTATAAGGAAGACCTGGGAATGTTATGGTTTTGGTCCCTTTAAGAGACAAGGCACACCCATTCCCCTCCTCATCCGCTGAGGCAGGCTGATCTTCAGCTTCCGGCCTGAGCTGGTTCTCTTTTCCATCTTCCTCTCGGAGAGGCAGCTTCTCTTCTGCCTCTCTCCCCACTTCTCTGCTTCCCCCCTTCTCTGTCTCTTTCTCCTCTACTCTCTCTCTCTCTCTCTCTCTCTCTCTCCCTCCCTGTCCCCCTCTTCACCCTTCCTCCTCCATAACCCCCTGAATAAACATTCAATCTCACCCTGCATGTCATGCCTATCCATGTTTCTGTCTTCTGCCCGCCCGCCATGTGTCTCCCTGCCTGGGACCAGCCACTGCTCAGGGACC